CATATTGATCAGAAAGGCTACTCACCGTGATGTTACGAGTGGGACTGGCCCACACGTTGTTCACGTGGGCTCGCGAACGAGACACGCCGCGGGGTCAAAATATCACTTTCAAATAGGGAGCCAGGTCACGTATGATAGTGAGGTAATCGTCTTTCCGCTTCATCTGTGGATTTTTGAAATTTATACAAAACGTCTCGAGAGTTTTGCGCGTTGATATATTCGATTCTAGGATCCGCACAGTCACTTCAAAATCATCGCCATTGTGCTTTTGTGCCCTATGTGTACGCAGAGGAATGTCCCGTAGAATTTTAACTTTCCCATGTAGGTGTTCTTTTATGCGGACGCAAAGTGGTCTACCCGTTTCTCCAATATATTCCTTATTGCATGCGTTGCATGAGATCAAGTATATTATACTTAAACTTATGCAATCACCGTTTTTCCCGTTAAGACAGATTATACAATTTTCTGAGCTGCACAAACGATCATAGAGACGGTTGCAAACAGGGTGGGATGTCAATAATCATTACATAATTTTCAAGACCACTTTTACTTAAGCATCTCTCGATGGCGCAACTTACTTCATTTAATATGATGGGTAGCTTAAAAGGGATCTTACTCACATCCGAAACATTATTTGGAGAACTACCCTACGTTTTTGTCTAACATGAGTGGCTTCTACTTCGTAGTCATTGGAAATGGCTATTTTTGGTGCCAGGATTAGCGATTCCTTCCTTTCCTCTTCTCCTGTGCAATAAAAGCACTTATCAAAAACATGTACCGTAAGGCTAAAAATTTACACCTTGTACCTTAACATGGTTGTCTCAGGATTCCATGGAGAATCAGACTCTATCAGCATTCTACGATATTCATTAAGAGAAGTAAATCCTCGAGCAGCAGCCGAACCCACGAATAAAAAGTTTGGCGACCTTCGTGGGTGCGAGGTATATACAAGGAAAACGGCTGGAGTGCAAAGATTACTGGGATCCTTAGAATGTGTGATACACATGATGTTGGCTTATGTAATCAATGAGGAACAAATAAATATGTGCATATGTATATGCATACATATGTGCATATATATGTACATATAGACATACATACATACATGGGGAAAGCTCTCTATATTAGTCCACAGGTTAATCTTCAAATGCTCTTGATATGAAAAAAACTGTCAGCAGTTATCCAAACCGGCGCGTCCGTCAGTCGGAGGCCAAATTATTCGGACGCCCAATTGACCTTTCGTAGCCTATAAAACGCTATAGGTCGTTGGTACTGCCATTGAAGCTCGCAACATTAACCGATTGCGTTGACGATGTACTTTTTTTCCGTTTCTATCGCGTTCTACCGAGCGTTCATGAATTCCGCTGATCGCAACGTCGCAACAGTTTTTTCACTGCGGCTTTTGCTCCGCTATGAGGAAAACTGTCCATTTGATGTAAGAAAATAACACAGAAAAGTTAATGCCTGAATTTACTGTCCATGGTAAGAAATCCCAACACATTCAGTTGCTCAATTACTACGACACATTTGGCTTTCGTACCTTCTCACGAAGATTTTCCGAATAGTTCGAAAAAACTCCAACAGTATTTCATCGATACAAGTTTTCGATCTGGTATTCGTAGCTGATTTACTGGGCCCAGGATTATCCCTGCTGGTTGGCTGCGGGCTAACGAGCCGGTTGGGCTGCTATAATCGCTGCACTTGAGAGCGTAAATTCTTGCTATTTGTCGAAGATCTAGCTCGTAGTCACTTTGACACCTCCTCAATTCCTCTTTGCATTGATTCTGCTTTTGTGAATGCCCAGTTTTGAGCATGATTTTAATGAGAACATAGTTCAACCACTGTTTAATTCGTACTGAACGCCAGCAGTTTTCTTCTATCTTGACAGGAATGGTAAATAGTTGAAACGACTGCGATATCAGTTTCTTCATCCCTTTTTTTAAAATTTTTTACTACTTCTTAGTAGGTAGAGGCAAAAACAGTGCGACATTCCGACGCAGTGTCGCCTACAGTTTTCCTCGGTGGTCTCCTATCAGTTGGCGAATCGTATTTTAACCATGTTTAACTTTTTATTTGCTGCCTATTATCTTTTAAGGCAGGATATTATGTGAAATAAAACCGCGCGAGCCTCCGGAAAGGGCAATCGAGGGTTTGAAGCTCACCTGGATTGAATACCTCGATGACCTGTCTTCACGAGTAGTGTAAAACAGCACTAGGTCCAATACATTCTCTGCTTTTTTCTTCCCTCACTATCATCATCTAGATGGTGGTTTGTATCGAGTATGTTGAACTTTGTGCGTATCATCCCGTGATCTGGAAAGCACTTGTTGTTCCAATAAGGGCTGACTGAATTTAGCTATAAACATTGGGCCCGTCTTGCTGGTGCTCATCACATTGTACATCTGGAGAATTCGTGGAGTTTAGTCTACTATTCGCGTAGTGCATTTGTCGTCTGGCTTGTTTATATTACGTAGTCGGTATATCAATACATCGTCTTCAACCTATATTCTCCTGAATCTTAAAAATAAGATACTTTTCGAAGGTCTGACCTGCAAATTTTGGCCTAATGCTATAGCTGCGTTCTGTGTTTCAAAGCAAATCATTGAAATGCCGAGTAGTGCGAAAAATTCCCCACATGAGCAAAGTGCCAACCGCCGCCGTCTCAGCTGCATTACAAAGCGCTGAATGGACCAGCGAGCCAAAAAATTGAGCACGAAGTTTGTGAACCTTCCTTGGTTGGTCAATGACATCCCTGAAGGGCTTGAACAGGCCCTTGATGCGCTTTATCGTCTGTAAAATTCTTTCATGTGGTTTTCCACGACCATTGAACTAAATACATGTAGAATGTGCTCTCCACAATCAAGGCGCACCTTTATCCACTTGTTATCCGTCTCACCATAGATTTTCCAAAAGTGGGTTTTCTTGGGTAGTCGGGAATGTCTGAGACTACTGTACTATTGTATCTGAGAATATGTTGATTTTTGCCGTGGCACAGAATGAGTTCATTATTGGATCCCGATTTCTTAACGATTATATGTTTGCTGCCCATTTCCATCCAACCCATTGCAGTTTGGCGGCAGTCCTTCGTGGACAATGAGGTGAACCTCTTTTCACTTCCTACACGCTGTATTACGGTTGATGTAATTTAATTTATTCAAGTTCCCATTGTATAATACTTACCATTTCATTGAAAAATTTGTTACTCTTCCAGAACAATATTTTCCAGAAGTAACTAACACTTGTATTTTCTCACCAGTTCACCTCATTCCATCCTGTTCAAACTTCTGTGCAGAGTGTTTAAAAATATTGTTGGTATCGTTGGTTAATGCCATAGTGCTCCTCAGCGTCCCTCATCAAACTTGTATGGAATCTATGAATTCATTAAGGTACTGGATGCGAATTCGCCTTGTAGAGTGAGTTTTAAGAGCTGTTCAGCGTATAAAAACTCATATTAGAACCCTCGCGGCTGAAGTGAAACAAGACGACCGCCTTGAAGCGGTAACTGGAAAGCAGGTTAGTGTTTTGGACCATTTCAATATGATATCAAAGTGGTACCCGCAAAGAAATGAATGGTCTGTGAAGTCTACAATTCTGTTCCCAGTAAAAAAAAATTTCGTGCTTCGTGCTAATTTTTTTGGATGAGAAAATGAAATCTATTAAACGGTGTTGCAGGTAAAACTAATCACTATCCTCTAACAAGAACTAAAAGGACTTCTTGTCCAATCGGAGCCACAAAAAATCTGGTAATCCACAATCTTGGAGACTTCCTTGTGTCACACTAAAGAGTATTTCGTATGTTTTCCTTCTGCTGAATTTATTCTTTCCACTACACTGCAGAAGCGCTCCTCAAAAGTCGTCGAGTCTCTCACCGTTCGTTTGCAAAGCGAACGCTCGACGCATTGACAGCTTGACACTTCAGCACGCCCCAAATCTCGCACAGCTCGACATCCCCTTTTCAGCAGCACAGATCTCTCCTTGCCTACTTTCCTCCTTATCGCTTGTCTGTTTTCCTTGTAAAACAGTGTAGACTTGAATTCATATTTCATACCGTTGACTGTGGATTCGTTACTTTGCAAAGTGTCTTGTCCATCTTAGCAGCGACCGGTCAAAGTTCTTCACAAAGACCCCAGAAGAAAGGCATGGTGTCCAACTAGTCTCTAAAATCCAGTAGAATCTACTGGGCTACTCTTAAATGTGATAGGGGCACGTGAAAAATTTACTGGCGCCGCTCAAGTCACTGTACGATCAAGGGGAAGACAGGTAATGCATGTGATACAGGTGATCGTTCTAGAGAAATCTAGTTTCAATTTGGTAACCCTGGAAGGATGGAGAGCTTAGTTGACCCTCGCCCTGGATTAAAGCAGCACCAATGTTGACCAATGTATATTGCAGGATGACCGGACTTCACATATTATGGGGATCCCAGCATTTATTTTATTTGTTTATTCGTTGTGTTGTATCCATCATTCATGGAGGACTTCCGAATTATTATACGTATTATGTCTTCACCATCAATGTCGTGGAATGCTGGAGTAAACTCTTCATGATACATCGAAATTGATCTACTAGGGCGTTTCCAGGCCTTCATAACGGTGAAACCCCGGCCTTTGTGAATCGCAGAGAATTTCTATCGAACAAATCTGGTAGTAATTTTGTAATCATGGAGAGATGGGCTTGATTAACTCAGAGCAGGGTCGAATCATCGTCTATTTTATGGCATCTCCAGGTTCATTATGAGCTGGGATATTTTAAAGTTGAAGCGTGCAACTACGTCTTTTTGGATACGCATGCATCGGCGTCAATGCCTGTTGCCATTATGCATTAAATCATCCTAACACATTTCCTATAGTTGTTTACACTTAACTGTCTATTTGGCTGTTCAATTCGATTAAATCACTCAAGCTCATTAAAATTTCCATTTCTTTTCTTCCTCTTTTTCTCGTTCCGTTATCCTTTTTTCTGAACCTTATTTCTCATGACAGTGCGGACAATGCAATGAGATGTCGTGGATTTTTCGTACGAAAATTTCCAAATCATATTTCTACGTATGGTATCTTGGCTCGAAAGAAGCTGACGGCATTCGAGGAGCAGCAGTGAGTCGTTGAATTTATCATTTGTCTACAAACCAGCGTTGCTTTACTCTTGTTCTCTCATGATAATACCATTCTCTTAGGTGGTGCTGCCAATCATGCGTCAGCTCTTGAGGGACAGCTTCAAGAAGACACCAAACAAAGCAACCGTTCAGGTAAGGGGTTTTAATGCTGACTGTTGTGCTGATTTAACGTCCACTCTACAGATTTCAAACAAAGGACTCAAACTTGTCCAATCGGTTCCGGCAATGTCACGTAGTGGGAAAGTGAAGATGCAGTTGGCAAAGTTTCAAATTTCCGCCAGCTGTATCACTTATAGGTGATGTAATCATTTCATCATTCGCTATGAAAACAAGCTGTTCCAAAATGTGATGATGCAGCAGATAAAATAAATCACAGTTAAAACCAATATTATCGGTGAGCGAATGGTTTTCTGCTTCAGTATGACTGGTCGAGCACCGTTCGACGACGTGGTGGGAGTAGTGATGTTGGTGATCAATCCGGAGATGAACTCCCCCGTGCACGTGCACTGCTACCGTTGTGATAGTCCCGAGACGGCACAGATCATGCACGCCAACATACAGGTGCACACAGAACCCGACCGAATAGCGCTGTCTATGAAAAATACGTTATCACCGAACGCTTGTTCCAGCAGATATTCTACAACATATATTCCAAAAAGAATAAAACATGTAGGGAAAGAAATGAAAGGATGCCATGCAATAAAAGTAAATTATCTATAAATAGTGTTCACGATTTACAACGTAGTAAACTTTATATGATCATCACGAAAATAATGCTGCATAACGAAGAAGTGAAGGTATTTTCATGTTGTCGAAAAACTCGGTATGGTCTTAACAGCTATAATATATCTTGGAGGCTGCTTAATGCAGTTACGAAGAGCTGTGAAATACCAAGCTTTTTATTACTTCGCCGCTTTAATTACTTTATTTTTCATCATTTCACTTTCCATTTTCCTTCGATTTCTTAGTAATTTGACGTCGCCGGTCCTCACAGGATATTCCATCCAACATATCGTTTTGAGCCGTATTAGACCAAAATGCACCCGCTCCTCTCCCTCCTTTCCCTCCCATTTATCTCTGCACGGTCAACAAATTGGTACTAGACTTGTCTGGAGAAATTTTCCTTTGATTCAAAAAGGTGAGGACATGGTAGATTTTAGACAAATCTCTCAAGACTCCATGAAAAATCGACTCGATCAGTATGCAACAACATTCATGGAAAACTCAATGTCCCCAGTTATCAGTTGAACTCACGAACAAAACTGAAGACCTTCGCGGATGATGAGTGCAAGATAACGACCCGAATTAAAGAAATACTATGATCTGCACCATATTTTGAGTCGGATCATGACGACAAAAGATAAAGGATTTGGCGTCGATCAATCCCTGAGGGATGCGCCATGCATTCAATCTCATAAAGCATCCTTAGAGGTGATTGAACGCATATCTGGCCTATACAATGAATGACTCGTGGCAGCCTACCGATCTATCCACTCAGTGCTGCTATCCTCCCAGACAAGTTTGGTAGCAGTCTACCGACCTCAATAGGATGGAAGCCTTCGTGCGTCGGCGACACGGTATCGAAGCAACGACTACATACGTTTTTCAAGCCGCCTTTAACCACTGCACTACATGATGGGTCATATAAATAAAAAAATAAATCCACCGAGGCGATTCTTTGTGTCTCTGTAAAATTTGTTGACTAAGAGTGCAACAGTTAACGCAAAAGGATGACCAATAATGTTCAGTTGCTCATTTCTCGACCGGAATTTCAACGATCAATCATGGCCCTTGAGCAGCGACTTTTTCTTGCAGGACTTCTCGTACCAAGGTAATACCCTACAATGTTCTTTCTATCTCACTTCTTTAGGTGCACGAATATTTATATCTATCTTTCTATGTGAGCTACAACATTCTTATCCAATTTTCGTTCCTTTTTTCTAATAGAGTATAGGGGAAAATGTTGCCGCTGAAATTTCTTGAGAAATAAGCAGATCCTGTTGGAAAGTTCACAGCGAAGAGCAACATTAACACCTACGCTGGCTTTTCGACAGATGGCCGTAATTTCTCGATCAACAAAGTAGTTCGAGAGTTGAGTCCTCTACAGATTCATAGAGGATACTTTACTCTTGTATTACACTTACCCCGCTTATGACTTTTGCACAGTGCCCTATAAAACCTCACCATATCTAGAACTAGGAATTCCAAAAAATTGGAAAGTGATTTCCCACGAGAAACTTTCTATTAACCGCAGGATTGATCGAATAATTCACTGTTCTCTTTGTGAGCGAACACCAAGTTGTTACTTTATTCTTTATTTACGAAGAAGCTGATGTATCGGCGGATTTCGTCTTCTTCAGAGCTTGGAAGGGTCAAGTCGACTGCGATCTACCCAGCCGAATACCTTCACAACCAAGCAGGCACGATTGATAAACCAAGATGTTAATCGCTTTGGAAACAGAACAGCTTCTTCGCACACTCATGGCTTCCTTTGCTTCTTCCACTGAGCATATCACATGGAGACCAACCGCATAGACCTCACATGGAAATGTAATGTGCCTCTCACATTAAAATATTAGTCTTGAATACCGTGTGAGATCACGTGTGATTACGAGGCATTCCTCCCTGCGGTTCATTCTCGGATTCAGTTGAAGACTTATAGATAGTGGTGAGTGTAAAAAGCAGCTACTTTGTTTCCATTGCGATTGAGATGTTGGTTAAACATTTTCTCTGTCTGGTTATGGAGACGCTTGGCTGGGTGGATTGCATGCAACTTAACCTTCCTTGGCTCTGAAGAAGGCTAAATCCGCCGAAACATCAGTTTCTTCATGAACGAAAAATAAAGTAATAACTTCGCGTTTGCTCATCAAGAGAACAATGAAAATTAAATTTTCAAATTTTAAAGTTCTAAAATTTCCAACGCCACAACTGCAGTTGAAAATATTAAGATACATTGGGGGAACATCATCACATCCTGTTAGACGAAATGCCATTTGTTCGTTTGCTTTCGTGTTCAAAACGTTAGCTTTGGAGCAAAACAGTGGAGGGCATACAAATATCCAGCTCAAGAAATTTTGTCTTGTAGGAAAAGATTTGCATATTCCAAAAGTTTTTGCCCCAATTAGTAGAAATTACCGTGAGCTGGAAATTTCTAAATAAACAGTTTATGAGATATTTGCAAAACTCTGGACCGCAGGTGTCTATGATGGGGAACGAACGCGCTATTGTCCTTTCCGGGGAGTAAAGCGTTCACCACCACACCATGCGGGTCCTTCGTTTCCCCTGTCTCTCAGCTATTTCTATCGTATTTCGCTTAGTAACCTGCCATGAAAATTATAGAAGGCAGAAAACAAAACGTTAAACATTGTGACTTCAACTACAGCCTATAGCTTAACTGGGTTCTATGCCGATTTGCGCTCCCCAGATCAACCCTGCTGACGGGTGATTGCTGTAGCAAAAAGATCGATAGAAATAGCTGAGAGACAGGCGAAACGAAGGACCCGCATAGTGTGGCGGTGAACGCGTTACTCCCCGGAAAGAACAATAGCGCGTTCGTTCCCCACCGTAGACACCTGCGGTCCAGAGTTTTGAAAATATCTCAGCAACGTTGTGGTTGTATTTCGCTTAGTAACCTGCCATGAAAATTATAGAAGGCAGAAAACAAAACGTTAAACATTGTGATTTAAACAGTTTATGTTCACAATATGAGAACGTTCTGTTATAAGATCGAGAAGGTTAACAAGATCATCGTCGAACACGAGAGCTCGAATCATGTCGGAAGACCTTAGGCATCCAGCAACAGAAAGGAAGCTGGACGGAAAGGTTTTCTCTCACGAATTCTCTAATTTGCCCGAAAAAGGCAGGAAAAAAATGCCCAGACGAGTGGTCGAAGAGCTGAAAACTAGGCTCAACAACAACGACTGGCGATCAGTCCGAGTGAGTTGTGTATTGTATTGAGCTGAGCGTCAATTTTAAGACATTTTCATACGCTTCATCGATTGTACTTTTCATTTAGAACTCCCTGCAGTCGATGGACATACGAAAAGACTCGCCGTTCGTTGAAACGCAATCTGATGTCCCGTTGCGCATGTTTGGTGACACGTTACTAAGAGAAGCAAAGTCGAAGAGTCTGGACAACCTTGATATAAATGCTGTTTCTACGTGAGTTATACAACATTCTCAAGAGAAATCTACTCAGATATGCTGCTTAAAATTAACACTGATAAATACAACCGACGCCTACAGGATATTTCATAGGGAGTTGGAGACAAAAGTATCACTGTGCCTGTACTTGTTAGAAACGTCTAGACGTCCACCAAGAGAAAGTGTGAAATACGAAAAGATCCTCTTAATATCATTATAGAATCTAATGCCAGTAACCTGCCTCCAGCTGGGTTAAATTGATAAAGGCAGCTACAGTCTGCAGAATTTTGGTGTACGGATAACGACAAATTCGTAGTTCCAGTGATCTTCGAGGTAGCGAGCACACCTCCGTTTGCCGTTTACCTCGGCTATACTTACCACGTTCATACGGACCGTGTGAAGCCAGCGAAAGTTCGAAGACTGATGGATTGCGTAGACCAAAGATTAAAAGAGTTTCTAGCAATCGTACCAACCTCTAGCACTGCTCATCTCATCACGCGTACATAATGAATCCTCTGTGTCTTTCCGTTGTTTATGATAAATTATGTAATAAAGGGCATAAAATGTGACGGAACTTCTGAAATTTGACGTATCACACGTCTACGTCTATGTCTACTATAATGCTAACGAAATTACTTTGGAAACACACCACATCACGTAGACACAGCACCGTTGCCGAAAAATGTCTTTAAAATGTAAGATTTATTAAACAAATCACTCCAACTGGTTAATCATGCACTGTCTCTTCAATGTAACAATCCTGCGCCGCTCCTCCCAGTATTGTCGTTCTCTTAGGGCAGCCGTCAAGCGATCTTTGGCTGAATCAAGGTCACAGTTGGTGTGATGTCGTACCAGCACCAGTTGTCTCTCGAGTGCCAGCAAACTCCGCTTTTCTTCCCAGTAACGCCGCTCCTCTATCGCCGCTTCTGTACGCGCTCGAGCACAATCAATCTCAATGCAAAGAGCCTTTTTGCGCAGCTCTTCCACAGTTTCCCTGGAAAGGAGAAACCGACGTTATGGAAATAACAGAACTATGGGAAGCAATAATGGAACGATGTTTCAGTTGCCACTCTGAGGCATCCATAGCATTCACATCAACTTTCCCCACAGCACTATTTGTTACAGTCAAACAAACAATTTTCCTGTTCCGTTAAAACCAACAGCAGTTAACATATTGTCGTCAGATAAGTAAACAATAATTGAAATATGATTTAGACACCGGCAGAACCACGTAGCGAAATGTTTTTGCCTGTCAAATTATAGCGAGATTAACCACTCACAGATGTCGGCTAATTCCTACTAAACAAGATTATTACAGAATATTGTAAAGCACACATGTAATCATCGGCTAAGCACCTAGGTCACTGAACTGAGTTTATCCGAGACTAATCAATCACTTGGTCTCTACCCTATCTTACTTTCTAACTGACAATATTCGAACGATATATCAAAGCTAAAGCGTGCAACTCTTTTTGTCAAATACATAGCTTCCTTCTTTGGTCCTTTGTTGAATAGCTATTGATAAACCGAAAATAGTAACAGAGTTTGAAACGTGTGTAAATAAGTATGTGTACTGACGTCGTCAAGTCGAGCGCTCCAGTTCTCTGCTCACTGTAACTGCACATCGTAGAATCAAGAGCATGGGAAGTTTGCTCTGCGAAGCTCGTAGTGTCAGCTGGGAATGAGAGGCTTGGTGGACCTAAGTAAAGTTCCATTCAAATTCATTTAAAAATCTAACAAGGAGCTCTTACTAAATACTACAATAGCATCAATACTTACAATCCGTATTGGAACAGCTAGCTACACGGTCATTTTGCAGCTCCCCAATAATGGACAGTAATCCAGCAGAACCCTGCAAAATTATGTGGAAAAAGTCGATAGCAAGGAAGTACTAGAAAACGCAGCAAATAAAACCACCTGTGTCGACTTGGGGTTAAGATCACCACACAATTTTGACAGCCTCGGTTTCAACTTTAGCCTATCGGCGATATACTGTTGACTAGATGACAAACGAATCTCTCTCGAACCACCTTTTCCAAAGCAATTTTGTCTCTATAAACAACATCCGCTGATCAGGAATGCCGAAAATTTAATGGAAACCCTACCTTATATCTGAGATATTTCTTTACTTGTCGGATTTCATCTCGAATTTTTTGGTCGATCTGCATAACAGTGCGCTTCTCCTCAGCTACCGTTGAGAGATAATCAGCCATTTCTTGCAACAATTTTCGTTTTAACTAAAATAAATAGAGATAACCACAGAGATTCCGAGATATTTGCAAAACTTAGACCCTATGCTAGATTTCAACTCGTGATTACACTGAGACCTTTGCTCTGTTTTTCTCTCAGCCAGTTTTTTACCTCAACAGTAGCATCAGCAACCATCCGTCAACGGAAATCTGGGGTGCACAAATCAGCACTAAACTCGGTTTCACATAATACCTTGCCATTTGAAGGTAGTGGACAGTAGGTAAAATGTTGAACATTGTGATTTCGACTATAAACTCAGCTTAACTGGGTTCAATGCCGATTTGTGTTCCCCATATGATTCCCGTTGACGGGTAATTGCTGATGCACCGTTAAGGTGAAAAAAAACTGGCCGAGAGAAAGGCAGAGCAAGGGGCTCAGCGGCACAGTGGGTAACATGCGAGCCCCCAGGAAAGGGTAATAGTGTGTTCGAATATGGACTGAGGTCCAAGTTTTGCAAATATTTCAGCACCGTTGTGGTTTTATTTCACCTAAAAATCGTGCCGTGAAAGAATAGAATAGGCAGTAGATAAAAAGGTAAGCATAAATAGAAATAGATGGACGGATGTAATCTCTAATGATAACCTTTGAACAAATTAAGCGACACTCTTTAAAAATTGTTTCGAAGTCACTTTTTTTATGCGCAGCTCGAATCTGGAACGTATTAGGAACGTATAAGAGGGTAAAGTTGAAGTCTCAGAGATAAATACGAACAACTAGGCCCATTTTCCAAAGAAAGTACTGCCTGTAAGAAAAAGAAACTCAAAAAGTGCTAAAGAGAACTAGTGGTATCCTATAAGTTGTAATACATCTTAATTTTCAAACAAGTGATTCCTATGATAGAAAAAATCCCACCTCAGCGATTAAACGTTTAATAAAATTTTTCCAAAATCTAACCAAAATGGCTTCCTTTGCCCTTCCTCCTCCAAGAGAACTTTTGTGGAAAATTTCATAATTACTGCAGTACATCTCAGCTATATAATCCAGTTCCCTCCTAGCAAACCTCGCTGCGCCACTGCACGTTCCCTACAAAGCAAACATTCATCGCAAAACTGTATCTTATGAAGGAGCCTCGGGCACACCTCTTTAGCTTCTTGCACGCTTTCGGCTCGACGACAGCGCTCTAGGATGTTGCTGCACAACTCGCCAGTGTCAAAGCTCTCGTTCTCATTCTTGACGACAGCGGACTCACCTGACGGCTCGTCACTTTGACCGATCATCTGCATCTCTGCAAACTACAGTTTAACAGAAACTTTCAGAGTTCTCCATATAAGTTTGTAAACATATGATCACATCAGAAATCGTACAACCTGAAGTAAGAATCCTTTGATTCGTAACTTTAAAACACTACTCGCACCCTATTGCAAATCTCTTCCGACGTCTGACACAAAATGCAGAGAGAATATTCCATGTGGAGATATAAAAAAATTATTCACAACGTTCAAAGATGAAAAGGCTGGACATAAATAAACGAGTAAAATGAACGAATGGAATTTGAGCGTTTCCTAGTGGGACCGATTCATTGACAAGTGTTTTATGTATTTACGTTACTCCAGTGCGTGTAGTGCAGTGATTAAATGCGCCCTACGATACACAAGGGTTCGATCCCACCCAAGCCCACCAGGTTTTCCATCCCTCCGGGGTCGTAAATTGCTACCAGACTTGTCTGGGAGGATAGTTGCGCTGACTCGGTACATTGGTAGGCCACCGTGAGTCATTGTATAGGTCAGATATGCATTCATTTATCTAACGATACTTATTAATGTCGAATGTATGGCACATCCCTCAGAAAATGATCATTATTCATTATGCGACTAAGACGCCAGTGTCAACGAATGTGGTATGAAGTGTAAAAGCATTGCCGCATAATCCTATGTGTGCAGCTTTTTGAATGCAACCAATGTTATAAACTGTGTATAACGTCAGTCAGAGTTTTCAACATTTGGAGACTTAGGACCAAATCCTTGGCAGCCGTTCGAGCCTTGAGTTGACATTAACTCATGCCGCACGACCTGTCCCTACTACGTTTTGTGCTCTCCAGAAAGAATTTCATCTTGAAGTAACAAGGAAAGTTGCAACTTATTTACAAAGATTTCTAACTTCTACAGACTAAGGTCCACTACAAGTTGACCTATATTTATTCATAATTGAAACGCTGAATGGTATCAAGATATATAAGAACAGCTACAGGCACAATAAGACGGAAAACCACCGGCAGAATGGCTCATCATAGCAATTGCAAAGAACAGGAGTCAGTGGTCTAAAGAGCATGATCACAAAATTTCTTGAGTTCCATTCAGGTCAATATGCGTTCTCCACTTGGGCATCGAGTTATAGTCAGAGACCGATTTTTCAAGCTGTAGGTTCATCTCTACTTCACAGGCAATACAACCATTGACGGAGCTGTACAAAATCAGACCACTTGTCCAGATTGTGACCAGAAATTTCCCGAGAATTTGAAGATCTGACAGGAGCTTATGTGAACACTGTTACAGCTTGTAGCAGCCATCAGCATCCTGCATGAAAGGGCACCACTGAGTGAGCATGCCTAATTGCAGAGGTGGTCAGCTGAAGAAGACACAACTCGATACGAAGGCGAAGACGCTACATCGAGACAAAGCAGAACGGTGGACTAGTGAGTCGGATCCATCGACTCTGATGAAGACAAAGACGTCAAAACGTTAGCCGAATAAAAATTATTTATCAACCTCGTGTAAGCTTATCAAAGAAGGAATATATGTTGCTTGTAGCAATATTTGCACTTCGCTCACAAAGCACAACTACGGGATCAGGGCACTTGAACCGTACACTAAAAGGGACTAAATGTACAAGATGTACAACTAAGTACACGACCAAACATAGGTGTGGGTGAATCGATAGTGATCGAATGCATGGATTATTCATCAATATTATCGAGAACGTCGACACTTTGGATCGAGAACGACAACAGATCATCAATAGTTTAAGAACGTTTTCTTGGCTGCGAAACGTCTCCAGAGGAAAGGTCGTCCCATTAGCACTGTACATAAACAGGAAACGACCATCAGAGCAGGCTATCCAGCCGGTGAGAAAAGAACAACTGCGAAAACCAGCGGGACTATAAGGATAAAATGGGGCTAAATTGAAAAGATACTAGACGTCACCATGTTGTAAACGACATGTAACGCAACCCTTCCCGTCCACATATCAACACCACAAATTCAATAGAATTGTGGCCTGTGATTTTTTAGACCACGATGTTTATAAGATTGACAAAATGGTGTCAAGAGTTCCAATTGAGGCACGCAATGTGGGAACGCATTGGTGGACGCCTAGCCATGTTTAGCAACAACCATTTTGCTACAGCTACACTTGTGGAGGCGTCCCAAATAGTTTTACCACCTTACTAAAACGAAAAGATATGCGTAAGTGTCCACGTTTAGTGTTCAAGTGCAGCAAGTGTACCTCTATGCATTCCTCATACGCAGCATTCTCTGTGGTGGGTACTTTCTTCACCACCAACAGTCTCTTACAGTGGACCAAACCCGCCCCAAAAAAGGATACTTGCAAATGATTGTGTGTGAAGGAGAGCTTTTGAGATTTTATACAAAGCAAAATTATCTACATTGAATAAAATATCGAACGAACACGAAGGTTAAAGTAAGAAATCTCATGACAAATTAAGCAACCGCAAAGAATGAGTTGACAATAACGCACGCCGGCCGATCTGCCACCCACTTATAAGTGGGTTGCGGCGTGTTAGAACACAAAACCGCTTCTTGAACGACGGTAGTATGGTCCGTATATTTATGTCGTAGAAATTACTAGCGAATGCATCAAATGTATTAGCTAGTTCGTGTGGATCTTAAGGAATTCGCCTGTAACTAAAAGTCTTTCTTTTTACATATTTTTCACAGGTAAGTTTAATTGGAAGATAGGAAAGACATAACAACTACAAACGAAAGACATAACAAAGACATAACAACTACAAAACTGGATCACGATGTTAGTAAAAAAGGAGATCGTCTATCGAGACTACATTCTGCTACTCGTTCCTGATGAAGAACCCTTTTTTAAAACAAGCACTATCACCGCTCAACAAAGAAATACCCAAACGGTAGGACTAATGAGGATGTCGATTTTATCCTCTTCAAAAAAAGGTTTCGATGTTAGTGTGCTTCCACCTTCTCCGCCGGATTGGATTATCCTCGCCGCCTTGTTCGTGCGATGATTCGGTTTAACAAAAGAATGAGGAAAAAATCCACCTAACGCGTAGAAAAACAACTATAAAAAGTGATAAGTGGATTTCTGTCCAATTATGACTGTGGTGAATGCGGGAATACGGCGGAAGAGTACCAGATGTCGCCAAAAGGTCTCCAACCTACGCAGATCAAGCCCTTCTTCAGCCAAAAACATGGCCAAAAGTTTGCCAATCAAAATTAAAGAACTCTTGAGAAAGAGAAGACACTTGCAACTATCCACAACTTGTACACATATAGAATTGCCGAATTGCACAAACGCCATTTGCAGAATGGGTGAACAGGAGAGCTTTATCGGTGTTTACAGCAAAAGATTCAGTAGAATGTCTAGCCGTGAAACAGAACGGTAACATGAAGAAATCTTTTTTGATTCACAGCACATATTGCTATTCCCCATTAGAATACCACTGAGAATCCTATGCAAGTATAAGCATGAAGCCTAACACAACTCCCGGCGACGAAAATATCATGGCCGACCATCTACGACATGGCAACCACCGTCTAAATGGTTTATTTTCAATACGTCAAACCTGCAGGAACAACGGAGAGCTAGACAATGGATGACACTGAGACTTTTTCTTTTAAAAGCAGAACACAATAGTACTCTACGAAGTGATTGAAAAGTAATTCCTTAGTTTAGAATCCTCATAATCAATTCCTTAACTGTAGTTTTTACTATGAATAAATATAAAAAAGGCATGTAGCATGAAATTTTATTTAAAATGCAACACGGGCATCGATCGTCAACGGCTTCTCAAGAGACCTCGGGAACTGCATCAACTGATTTCACCAGAAACTCTTGCAGGATGGAACAACAACTCGTTGTACTAGTCCTTCAAATTTTTCCAAACTCACCGTTTGGTAGAGGAGACTTACTTCTTTAACCAGCTTCGACGGAGTAATCGCAGAATGTTAACGCAGGACTGCTGACTGGCAATTCATGCGAACCACGTCGACCAATTCACCTCCCAGAGAAGTGGGTGTTCTGTCATTTTCGAATAAAAGTACCAAAATGTGAACAGTCATCCTGTGTAAATATCGAATATTCAATATCCTTCTAGCACACTTTCATCTAACTGCCCTTCACCATCTCTGCTCTTGAACAATGAATGACCAAACCTAATAAGGTGACGGTAGCTGGACATGATCCTTGCAAAGTAAGACGTCCGGCCATGTTTGTACGCTTCCCAAATTTCGTACCAAATAGTTGTTAACCATAATGATACTAAGATATTTGCAAAACTCCGGACCGTTGGTGACCGAACACGCTATTATTCTATCCGCTTTCGGGAAGCTAACGCGTTCACCATCACACTATGCGGGTCTTTCGTTTCTCCCTTCTCTCAACCGTGTTATTTACCTATAGCACTATCAGTAAACACCCATAACGAGTCATTGTTTATTTTACATAACTCGCCAACATATCTACTATGTTGGTCCCATCACCTCTTGCCTTCGATTCGTTTTCTCCGCACTCATCGTCCATAAAGGTCTTCGAATCTTTCAGGTTGTATCAGCAGCTTCACAGGGATTTCGTCTCCTTTATTAATGTCGTGGAATGCTATTCGAGTCAGTTCTCCTTGCAATCTTGGAGACAGCCAGGCCGAAGCTTTCTTGCACGTGGATTGGAGGACAGCATTGGGGCAGAGATCGAACTAGGACCTTTGATTCTTGACTGACGGCATTACTAACCATTCCGCTATCACCGTCCACTCAAACAAAAGCAAGATAATATTCCGTATGATTGAGGTAACAAAAGATTGGTATAAACATTTATTCGGCTAACGTTTCGGCGCCTTCGCCTTCTTCACAGTCGCGTTGATCCAAGTCGATAGTCTACAGCTAGTCGTTGCCACGACATTAGTGTTTGTAGTCGCATTGTGTCAAGTCCTGTAGTGTGGAAGAACCGCTCGAATGGGGAACTTCTCTCAGCGTTGCCCTTTTATACGTTACGGATGTTGGTCGATTCCCGCTACCCAGTATGATCTGTGTTTCTCGGGTTGTGCGTTCTCCCATTGCGAACACTCCATCGCTACGACGACCAGCTTGGGAGTCATCGACTCCGATCAAAGCAGCTCCGAAGGAGGCGAATGCACCAGAACATTAACCGGATGAAGGTTTGCACCAATCTCGTGCTAAGCCCAAACATGTAGAGAATCATTGACTGTTGTGACCAAGGTTTAATGAAAGTCGGTTTTCGAGATTGAAAACAAAATAATTAAAAATAAATGACGAAATAATTGTATGAAACGAAATTTTTTAAAAATTTTATTTGATCCGTCTTCACGTCTGCTGTGCGGATCCCAGCACTTCTCACATCCAATTTGTTTCTTCGCATACATCGTCCACGAAGACCTTGCAAGTTTTTACGTGTGGGTTCGGTTGCTGCTTGAGAATTTCCATTTCATCTTGAATGTCGTAGAATGCTGGTCAACCAATCCTCACTGGAGTCCTGAGATAGGATTGCATTCGTTCCCAATTGGATTGCACAGTCACTTTTCCCAGACAAGTCTGGTACCAATTTCCCGACCCCGGAGGGATGAGGGGCGTGGTTGGCGCCCAGGGCAGAATCGAACTAGGACCATACTCATGATAACGGACATCACTATCACTGTGCTATCCGCCCCATATCAAAGGAAATAATCGCTCTAATAACAATAGCATAGGTCTAATCCCCATACATTAACGAGTAAACATAGAAATGATAATATTAGAATATGTGTACGAATTACAAGTGCTCTAAGATAGGAAATTACTTCTCAATCACCCTGCGCGTAACTACCGCTCGACCAATCTTCTGTGACGGCTCCATAAGCATTCTGTGAAGGCCACACTGACCCACATTTCAAAAAACCGGAATTGAGGAGACTGTAATGCCATAATACTACTACTATAATACTAATACTAATGCATAGGTACTGGAATGTTTAGTGAATACGAATGGTGACTTGTAAGAAAAACTCGGCAAAAGCCAAGAAGCGGTGTTTGTAGCGCTCAAGCATTGGTGAGTGGCCAACTAGCCCATATTGACGAATATGCTCACTTAATCATAATGATGCTGAGATATTTGTAAAACTCCGGACCGTTGGTGTCTGCGATGAGGACTGAACATGCTATTACACCTTTCGGCGCCTAACGCGTTCACCACCACACCATACGACTCCTTCGTTTCGCCTTTCTTTCAGCCATATTATTGACCTAAAGGTATACTATACACTAGATCTAGACTAGAACATACACTGTGCAATAAATCAACGACTATTTTTCCTCAAGACAATCGGGCGTACACAATACATAGCTCGCTCTCGTAGTTTAGACCTTAGAAGAATATCCCGTCTTCGACCACAGGTAGAAGAAAAAAAACATTAGAGTAGATTCCGACAGAATAAAAAAGCCTTAAGGAACACCACAACAAAAAGAAGAAATGGAGCCGAAGTAGATGATCGTTGAAGACAAAGACCAGGTGTATTCAAAGCTGGAATCAAACTGAAGATCTTCAAGCCGATGTCGCACACACACTAGAACAAGAGTGCTATTACTTCAATGAGTGATGCTCACATGACAATGTAATGAATGAAAGAAGTGCAGGAATCAGCACGATATGCAAGTGCTAGGAGATGAACACCTCCAAGATATCGTAGCTTGACACTCATGAACACCTTCCCCGCCGCCATGATGAGGTAATAAGCTTTCGGGAAGCAAATACACATAGTGATCCCGACAATTCAGCTACCCATTTCATCTTACTTCTTATATTATGTGCACCCATTATAAGCCGCCTCTATATGTTGTAAGGATCCCAACGCTTCTCTCCTACGATTTCTCGTCTTGAATTCATTACCCACTATGGGCATGGTATTTGTGTACGATTTCCACTGCAAGTTGACCGTTTGTTTTATCCATGAACGTCACTGAATACTGGTGGAGTTCTACTACATCGTTCACAGGTCTCCTCAACAGGCAGTTTCCGGTCTTTACGGTTTGCAGGGCGCGTGTGGCGCAGCGGTCGGAGTTGCCCTGAAACATACATATGGGATCGATCCCCGCTCCCCAGGATCACCGAACACCAACCCTCCTTTCGGGATCGGTGGCTCGATAGATCGGTAGGCCACATTGAGTCATTGTAAAGGCCAGATATGCATTCAATCATCTGCAACGATGTTTAATGAAGTCGAATGCATGGCGCATCCCTCAGGGATTGATCAACGGCGAGATATTTATCTTTCATTTTTTTTTGGATCGGAGGAAACTTCGCTAGAGAAACCTGCTACCATCTTACTCGCGATGGAGTGATCGTTTGGTGATCGCATGGCGAGGTCACAGCAACGACCATTCGTGTATTGCACAACATTTTAACCACTGCGCTCCCCTCACCACATTTTGCATCGTTGCAAAAAGCTTTACTAATGTAAGAAGGAGATCTCTGCTGGATGAAGCAAAGCACCCACCTCTTCAGCTCACATATGACACCAAATGAGAATGCAAAGCTCGAAAATGGAAGGAAAATTCCGCCTACGTAAAGATAAGATACAACGGCAAGATGTCGAATCAGATCGAAATGCGCTGCTAGGAAGTTGTACTGGTGAGGTAGTACGGTAGTACACAGCGGCAGAAAACAATCGCAAACGAAACGGCTTCAATTCCATCTATGATGAACGCTCTAGAATGATACACCACCAAACTACCTCCAATGAACAATATGAGACAAGACTGGAAAGTCTGAGGCGGGAGAGTTTGTCTCCAAGAATACCTGACCTAAGCGTGTTAACCTTTAGCACTTTTTACAGGACTACTAAACGAACTCCTCAAAAGATAGCGTACTTCTTTAGTACCGTCACACTCTAGTAAGTCTGCTGCAAGTTAATACGGTCATTAACATAAAAGGATGCAAATTTTATGACTTATAAGACGATGAGCCAACAAATGTATGCATCTCTGTCGCTCTCTCGCGCACCCTCTCTCCCTCTTTCTCTTCCTATGTCCTACTTTCTACACTGGGCACATTCCTAGATTCTTGTTAACATTTCCCAACATCTGTTGTACAAATTCTGACAAAGAGTAACTTGAGATGAAATATATGCATTCGGAAAAGAACGCTAGAACAAACGCTGTTGCCAGAAAGATAGGAAAGTCTGGAATGGGCAAGGAGTCAGTCGCACGGATCGTGTAACGCATCGATCGGCCGTGGGAACTGGGGCCCACCCGTGGAATCCCCATAGGTGGTCACTGTGGGAGCGCACTTGTACCCGTCCCAACAAACCTCCACCACTATAAGATTGGTAAACAGCATTGTAATATACGTAATCTTAAGAAAAAGGCGACGGAGTGAATGTGAAAGATGATTTCTTGATTTTTAGACTACGCTAGGAATGTGCAAATGAATAGGAATTCTTGGGACTTCGAACGAAGCCGAGAAAACGGTCCTATTAGGAAGATGTTACGCAATATATGAAATGTTTTCTACGGGATATTATCTTCTAAGGAATCTCACAGCTCGAATTCCTTCTGAGATTATAGAGGACCGGGAAGTCCAAAGCAGAGAATAACCACAATAGATGCCGATATAGAACGTAACAAAACAAAAGAGCCAACTATTCAGGGTTAAAGTAATCGTATGAACGTGGTAGTCTAAGAATTTCAGGAATTTAGCTGGCGTCAGAATAATGAGCACACTTGGCCTTCTCGCGTCGCAATATGCAACCAATACTTAGCTTGGTCTCCTTTAAGAGAATCATAGAATCATTAACATCTAAAAACATAACTCCACGATCGAATGTGGCTTTCTAGACACTAGTTCAGCGAACCCACAGATTTCTGAAGCAGAGGAAATCACTTGGAAGCACTGAATACGGTAACGATGTTTTTCTGTAATCGTTGTACGTAATTGCCATAGCGTTAGTTATTTGAATTGACGACTGCGAGTAGGTGCATATTACATTTTTGGTTACTAGTTCTAAGCTTATCTAGTGATGGATTCGTTTGCTTGCATTCAAAGTTTTTAGTAAAATCCCAGCCTTGTAAGTCCTTACTGTTCCAGAACGATGTCGGTGATGTCAGGGCGAAAAGTGCAGAAGGTTATGGTCCAACCCATCAACCTAATCTTCCGGTTTGCTTGGTTTTTCTTCGTTTATGCTTTTTATTTGATCGGACTGCTTTTTAGGTACCTTCAAAATCGAACGAGGATTCAGATTTGGCTCTATGAGGATGTGACTCATCGCATTGAGGGCTATATCGTTGGTAAGCGTTAATGCGATTTCCTTTGCGATGTTGGATCCTTTTGTCGCCTTTTCATTTCTCGAAAGTACTACTTAGCTTCAAGCCAGTGCTGTTGTTTATGTTATATACTGCAGCGTAAGCTCGTATTCGTTTCAATCAGTAACTTTATAGCTTCACTGTTTTGTTTTGCTACCTAACAACTTCCGTTTTACACGTTGGGGATGTGGTAGTGATACAGTGTCTTTGAGTTTTCTTCTCATGGAAGTAGTATTCACCTGACTCTTCTCCTTGTATGCCTATTATAAAAGCTGGGGTTCTGATTAACATATATTGAAATTGTTGAGCTTACACGAGGTTTGCTACCGAGGTTAAGTGACGGTTGGTTTGAAAATTGTTTTGCTGGAGTGTTTTTCCTACCCATAAGTATTTTCTCTTAGGTTTCGACGAATATATGAATGTTGTTTTGGATGAGGGTGAAGAGCTTAATATGAGGACACAAAGCCGTAACAAGCTTGGTCGCATCCTTCTCAAAGGGGACAACATCACAATGATCCATGCCGTTACTGTCTAGGCAGTAGTTTGTCTCCTTACGTTTTTAATGTTATGCATTCACTACTCACCAGTGTTGCTATTTCGTTGTATCCCTCCTCCGTGTTTACGATTATGTTTTAGTCCTTTGTAGGTCTAATTTTGTTACGCTGAAGTAAATCTTTCGAACGCTTGTTGACGTAGTTTGATTTCTGGTAAACACCAATATAGATGGCCAGAGATTTGCGTTAATAACTACTGGACATTCTTTACGCTGTTAGGGATTGGGATGGTTGTGAACTTGGTGGCACTACTTTATCTCTTCGTTAACGTTTACGCTATTCTGAACACCGGCGTTCAGCTTCGGATCGAGGAGCTTTTTGACACTACGGGACATACTAACAATTGGGCTGTGAGTATTCTTTCTCTCGTAGTCTTTAGGTTAAGTCTTTTAGGTTGAAATATTGAGTTAGTAGTGATGCTTTAAGGTCTTGGTGTGTACATCCCGCTTCTGGTTTAATTATCGGCATGTTTCAAACGTGCTAGCTCTCTATCATGCGGTTAAAAGATTAGGTATACCAGACAGGTAGGAATTAAAAGCATATTTTATTTTTGCTGGTTTTGAGTGTTGTCTTTTAAAGTCTTTGACATGTCGCATTGTTTTAGCCCATTCAACCCTCGTTTAAAAAAGAACCCTTTTTTTCGGAAGAAATCTATTGACTGGTAGTTGAAGCGATAATTAATTGCCATTCCATTTTAATCACCATGGTTATCGTGTAGAATAGGCGGATATAAAAAGCACTGGAATTGTCTTAACATAAAGTGCAGAGTACTTCCATATGCCAGCAGCATTTGGCATTTGCAGTATGGACTGCAGTAATACGTGGTAGATACTTGGATACTTGGATGGCCCGTCATCATTGGTTGTGCGAGCTCCAGCATAACTTCCATTCCCAAGGTCAGCCAGGTCAAAGTCTGCTCCAGGTCGTCACCACCACAGACAGTCGCCGCCCTTGTGGATCAGAGGGAGATTTGCGGCCATGCGACTAGTTTGATACCAAGATGGTGTTGGATTCTGGAAGTGGTTTACCCTTAGCTACGCTTTCTAATGGAAACGCTGGACTCCTCAGCTTAGCAGATCCTCGTGGGAGGTGATTCTCCCTGCTGTACATCGCCAGGCCGACATCCAAGAACGCCTCTGAACCACTATGGGGCGGTAAACCTTTGGGAGGATATATAGTAAATGGTATCCTACATATGGTATACATATTCATACTTATAAAACCATAGCGCAGTCTATTAAACAACACTATTATAGTGAAAATGCTTTAAGTCCTCTGTTTATTGAGAAAAGATTTCTCATTATCAAAAAGCAAGTAAGTATGCAACTGACGGGAAATTGCGCGTAGTCCGTTGGGCCAGTCATGCAAAACCCTAGCTGCGGTAAAGTGGATTAATGGGTATGGTAGAGCTGAGTATTAACATCTTTGGTGTTGAGGAAATGTGCACTGTTTTCAGTAACATCATATTAATGCTGGCGGAAGATATCCCGTGTAACCCGAGGAATCCACGTCCTGGTAAGTAGTTTTCCCCATACTTAATGTTATACTATATTGTTATGCTAAATTACACCAGTGACAAGACAGACTTCCTATTGTTCCAATCTGTTTTTTTCACCTATATCTTGAATGGTATTAATAGCTGGTTGGAACGTTGTTCTTTTCTGATTTTTATCCAGAAATTTTCCTCATATTACCGAACCGCCTTGCAGCTTGCCGTGTTCGTTATAGCAGGGATGTAGGAGGGCATGGTAATATAAGTCACAGGTTGTGTATCTATAGAAATCGTCCGGAACATTTGGTCTAAAATTTGAGAGACTTTCTTTTTTATACTGCTTAGCTACGAAGAGTCATTCTTAAAGCTGCGAATTATTGTTATACATCCATTCTCTCTACATCGTTTCATTATCGCTCTTTAACCAAGATTAGCCAAAGTCAATTAAACCTTACAGCTTTTTATTCACCACGACCAATTTTCTTCGTGGCATAATTAGCTCAGGGTAGCCATGAATAGCGGAGTGTGTGGCGCAGTGGTCGGAGGCGCCCTGTAGTACACTTGGAATTGTCCGCTAATCCCAGAGCCACCAAGCCCTCCATCACTCCGGGGTTGGCAAACTGGTACCGCACTTATCTGGGAGGATAGCAGCACTGGCTCGATACATCGGTAGGCCACCGCGAGTCATTGTAAAGGCCGGATATGCGTTCGTTCACCTCCAACGATGCTTAGTGAAGTTGGATGCATGGCTCATCCCTCAGGGATTTATCAATGCCGAGAGCTTTATCCTTTATCATGCTATCACAAATATTCAGTGACTGTAGTGCGCAAACTTCTGATCCTGTGAAGTGTCCTCACAGCTGCTGACGGTACTAACAAATTCGCGAATACGCCTGATTTCCTTCTGCCTAATCATTCATGAGTGACTCATTGGATATTTTGCGAACTTCCTTCCACGTGTGAGCCGTATGTGCCCATGGATTCGTAAATATATTGTTTTTAATGATGCGCAATCAATGACTACTTCCAAAGTAACGTCTTGAACTAGATTTAAATTGTTTATTGTGAATGGAGCACCAAGACTGGATAGATTTTGAACAAAGTGAAATATCAATGCTTGATAAATAGCTGCTTATGTTTTCATGAGCTTAATCTATTTGATGTCGTCGATTCTCTATGTGAATTGTGTTCTGCCATCGTTGAATCAGCTTATGGTCGATGTATGTATGTTGCTTCGTACAGTTTTTTTCCTCATTGTTTGACACTTGCGTTATTTGCTCGATAGTGTGGATATCAACTTCCGCGACGTCACAATCTGAATAGTGTACAATCTTCATTTTGCAGCTACTTGAATTGACTGTACATTTTGTTTACACTTCTGTTTGGACATGAAAACAGCGGTGTTTCTGCGGACTTCCCGCGGCCGACTTTCTATTAATCTTTGGGTTTATCCCATAACTCAGTATTAATTACTGACTCACTTAACACTGATTTACTGACTTCTTTTTCTTTCAATATGGTGGTAATTATTTCTTATTGTCATAGGTATCCTGGTTACCTCGTTAATTACAAAATGTGGAACTTACATGATGGCATCCTCTCGAATAACGGATTTTGTTCGAGTCGTACATGTCTGATTATTTGTGGATCGCTTTTTTCCACTGTTGTTAGAATGATTTGGTAAGGTATCGATGCTGTCCAAGTTTGTACTGTCTAGAAAGGCATCATTTTCTCAACTAATTGGTATATAGATATCTGAACTCTAAGGGTTATGCAGACCGGGAATTAAATTTACCTGTTCGTCAACTTTTTTATACAACGTTCTCGAGTCCACCTCTTTCGCTCGATGCTTGTTGCATTTCACATAATGAAGCTTAAATTTGTATTAACCTCTTGAATTATTCATCTTCTGTAGTTCGGTTTTTTTTTAATTAATACAAAACTATCCAGTAGTTTACGATTATTTTCACAATATGCATGCTCTTGTGAAAATTAGTTTACCCTTCGTCCGTACTTACCTGGATACCTGGATGCTCATTCTTTGTGTGGGCGCCAGCATAACTTCCATTGTTTGGGAGTTTTGCTGGTTTAGCCGTTGTGGTTCCCTGGAGTACCGAGGTCAACCTGGCAAAAGTCTGCCCCAGGTCTTCATCACCACGGGCAGTCGCAGCCCTTGTGGATCAGAGGGAGATTTGCCACCATGCCACCTTGATACCAGGACGGTGGCGGATCCTGGTATTGGTTTACTCTTAGCTTGGTTTCTGATGGAAACGCCGGACACCTCAGTTTGGAAGACCCTGATGTGGGGATGAGACGCCCCGCTGTACATCGCAGTCTGACACCCAGGAACACCTCCTAGCCACGATGAGGCGGTAGACCGTTGGGAGGTCCATCCATGCTATAGTCACAAATTCCGTAATTATACGCCAGAAACTATTGTTGGTAATTATTTGGTAATTCTCGATATTGATAGGTTTAATGTTATGGAACAGTGTTCTCTTACCTTAATTACAGAAAGTTTTGGCATTCGATACTCGATAGCTACATGTTTCCCGTAAGCTATTGTGAATGTGATTGTTTCCCAGAGCGGCCTCAATTTTTCGGCATGCAGTGGTCCTTGTGGTGGAAGCATCAGTTGGGCGCACGCAGTTCTCCGTGAAATCTCTAGTTTCTATAATGATGATGTCGGTTTGATTGATTGAACTATGCTTTAACCATAGCACGAACCCTGGATTTTGTTCAATTTTTGTTTTTGGAAGTTTTAGATCTCAAAAGCCACGTGTTGGTTTTTTAATGAACGCAGATTAGAACTGTTGCATTATCGTTTGAAGTAGGCGACTGGTAACGAAAACTCCTATAAAAGTATTTTGAACTCCGACGCCAGATTCGGATACACCAGTGAAAACCATTACGGCATCAAGAAATTCGGAATAGGAGATCAAAGTGGGATTGAATGAAGACGTTTTTCCCGGATTCGCTTCAGCAGCAGACTGTTCCATGGATTTTCAATTTTAGCGGGTTGGCACCTTCAGATTTTTACGCACATACGGAGTACTTGAATTATGTCATCTGAGATATTAGATGCACCTTCATTATCAAATCCTACGGCGCAAAACCTAGGTTTGAATGCTGGAGCTTTCGTCGAGATCGTCTAGACAGATCGACGGTATTTAAAGTGGGCAAGGCAATAATTTAAAGTTTTGTAATAATTGCTTAGGTTTTTTTTCCAATGATGTTCCAATTTCTCGAGTATATTATGATGCCGGTACCTTCGTTTTTTGCTTTACTGGTAAACAGAACGCAGCTACTGTGATAACTGGTGAATTAATGATGTGTTGAGTAGTGGCAACGTAGGCGACACTACAGGGCATAACAAACGTGCAATGTACGGGCACCGTGGCTGACATAACGAGACGGTATTGAGCCGAGTGGGGCTGAAAAAACTTTAGATTTCACTTTTTTAAACTTAGGTTTGCATTGTTGTTTACTTTAGAACTGCCAAACACCTCAGTCTTCCATATTTCGACTTCGCGTATTGGAGTACACACTACTAATCGGTTAAGGTGTGCCACTACAGCAATCTGTAGTGGATTGATACGTAGAAGAAGTGGGCTCATTAACGGAGCAGTGATGTTTGGCACCACCTAGAATTATGGCGTTTTTGTAACTTTAGTGAATTCATGTAGAAAATGAACGTTTTACCATCTGAGGAGCACTTCCGGGCTGGACATCCTTAAGAATCGTACACTTTGTACCTTTAGGTGCTCCAATTGAAGCATTGCTATTAGTACTGTCCGGTTCCGATAATGTGATTGTCGTGTGAGTGATGGTTGTACGTGAATCTAATTGTTTCTGGTGACTTGTCACCGTTGATATAGATCTTCCACGCCCACTTGTGGAATACATAGATGTTGATCCTTGGCATTTCAACAGCTTTTGTACGGGAGGTGGCCTATAATTAGTTTGAGTGAGTCGGTTGGTCTCCTTGCTGTCTTGCGATGTTGTAGAGCAGTTCTAATCTGCTTGGAAGGCGCACGCCCTAAGTTCTTGGTGCGTTCACGTTCCTGGATTGGGTGTGTAGCAGACAGCGTGTATTTTCTCGTGTAGTACCCAATCCTATGACAAAACTTACCAATTCGATAGATTGGGAAGAAGGAGCACCTCAAAGACACCAAACGCGACAGTTCACATATTTCATCGTATTTCGATGGCAGCATCACTACTGTCGCTTGCCCCTTATGGGGAGATCGTATCGCCAGCACCGTTGACTGCTTCAGTTGGCAGAAGTATCAGTTATGTGGCTAGCTTACACTTGGTTTTCAGTTGTGACGTTGCTGTCTCCAGTTGCGTCCTTGTTCGTCTCCGTTACGCTGAGGTATTCTGTGTCAGATTCCGTCTCTAAATATGGCACAGAGTTATGTCTTTAATAGTTTCCGAAGCAATCGCAATATTTGAGGGAAACGAACCGCTACCACCTGTTCTCGTCGTGCTTGTCCAACGCGTGACAGTCTGTGTTCATGTATTCATTAGTTGGTATAATTTGTGTTTAGTTGACTTTTTTTGGTTGTATTTCAGCAGGTGTAGTAATCACATCTTATTGTAGCGAACTTTTCGTATCTAATTTTGACCTATTTTAGCTAATTTGTTTTTATTTGTTAGTTATTAAGACTCAATCTTTAATTTCATACATAGATAAGATCTATTCAGTTATCAGTTAAAGAGATGTATTCAGTTATGTTTCTAAACGTTGTGCACGACCCATGTATAGAGTTAGTTAAGATGCCAATTTGAGCTCCCCAGATCAATCCCGTTGACGGGTGATTGTTGATGGCACTGGTAATTAGAAAACTAGCCGAAAGAAAGGCGAAAGCAACGACGCGCATGGTGTGGTGGTGAACGCGTTAGCCCTCATAAAGGGTGATATCTTGTTCGTTCCTCACCGCAAACACCTGAGGTCTGAAGTTTTGCAAAGTCATAGCATCATTATGGTGGAAAAAATAGTGTTCGAAAGTTCAGGACGCTGCTTGCCCAGTTGTAAGTTTCGGGATTTTATAACGCGTTTAAAATGGATTGTTAATAAGGAATTCTAGGCATAATTGTAGAATCATGGTTTGTGGTAGATGTGGCAGTCTTTTTCTGAATGAAAACGTATGGTTATGGGAAGTACAGTTCGTGCAGCAATGGAAGGTGCTTTTTTACATGACGTGATATCTAAGTGTTAGTGAAGGCGGTTCAGCTAAACCGTTTAGAACTCATACGAAAACTACCAATTTTGGTTTTCACCGTCGCGGAACGGTGCATAATTTTTAGTCGGTTGCGGACTGTATTGAAACAAATGCGCATTGTCCTCTGTGCCTTTCCTCTTCCCATAAATTGAGTTGTTGCGAATGTGTTTATAAATAGTAATTTACAATAACTTCAATCTTGTCAATGTTAAGTGATTCTAACACTCATTATACCAGGATTTTGTACAAAGACACTCGAGTACATGTCAATCTAGTTTGTATGAGATTTGTGTTCAGAAACTAACAGACGAGTGCTAAGAAAGAGTTGTGATTGCCTATTTTGTTTGATCGCCTACCTGGGCTGTGGTTTTCCCATCAGTGCTATTCGATCGGAGCTTCACATTTTTATCCTGCTGCATCAGCACTCTCTTCTTTACTCTTCCGATAGCCGGCCGTCCGGCCTAGAACATATACTAGGAACTGAAATATGGTATTACTGGAAGCTCATGATACAGCCGTATCGCTATCTGCGTAGAAAAATATTTTCTTCGTAAACTTATTTATAGCCCTCTGCTGAGCGACTATCCTCATTGCAATTACAACTACATAGTTTAGTTTTGTTACAAAGGTAGAAAGCAGTCTGACACCAGCGTGCTGCGTGAAAATGTTGGATTCCCTCTAAGTGTAGTGAAGGCAATATTAATGAACGGTGGAATTAGGTGGCTAATTAACGTTTTCTGGAGTTGGTGTGATCAACAACCTAAGACACAGAAAAACAGCAGCAGTTCAAACCTACTTTAGCATTGAGGAGTTAATGAAAAGAAAAATTGACTTCAAAATTTCCATTGCTTTGGAGGGCAGTTTTATCGCCTTAGCAAAGTACGCGTGTGGCGCAATGGTCGGAGGCGCCCTGCAACACACACATTGGATCGATCCCCGCGGCCAAGGCTCAAAGCCTTCCATCCCTCCGCGGTCAGCAAATTGGTACAAGACTTGTCTACGAGGTTAGTTGCACTGGCTCGATGCATCGGTAGGCCACTGCGAGTCATTATAAAGGCCAAATATGCATTTAGTTACCTCCGTACGATGCTTTCCAAAGTCGAATGCATGACGCATCCCTCAGGGATTGATCAACGCCAAGAGCTTTATACTTTTCATCCTCAGTGTCATCTGTTTTGTGTTAGAAGAATGACAGTGCAAACAACCTCGTTCAATGTAGTGCATCACCGTGAATGTGATAATCGAAGTTACGTCCCTCGAAGAGCTGTTGAAAGAGGTCATCGTCAGGAATCAATGAAGAATTATTTAATACTGTGGTTCATTATTAATAGAGCATGTTACGAAATTCTGGTCACTAAACTGAAGCGGAAGCAAACCAAATGACCGATTTACTAAGAGAATAGAGATGTACCGTCAAGTATTGGTCACTTTTAGCGTATGACTTGTTATTTTATGCTTCGCACTCTGCGACTAAGCATCTTCTTTACGGAAGCTCGAGACCTAAGGAATTGTAGTGGTGGTTTAACTTTTGCACATTCGAGTGACTGTGACCATTCGGAGTGGAAGGGAAAACAAAAATTTCGGATGGGAAAAGAACACCATAAGTCTCGACTAAATCGATTGACGGAGAGGGTCGCATTAAGCGCTGTTGAAACCGCGGTATGCACTTTTTTGTTATTCCATGTGAGCGTTATTGTACCGATTTTCTTGATTCTTCACTTGTCCTTTCTTAACCTGTTTTTAGTTGACCTACTTAGGAACTCATTTACAGGCACTGTCTACGCTGCTCGTGCAGGTCACAATTTGTATGGAACGGATGTAGAGGTGGATTATCGAGGCGAAGAAGTGACGGTGGAAAACTTTATCCGCCTGCTAACAGGTCGTCATCACCCTGCCACCCCTCGTTCAAAGCGCTTGCTCACTGATCATCAAAGTAATGTATTGGTAAGTGTTTCAATGTTTCAATAATCGTGATAGGGATATCCGATTGTTTTATTTCGAGTCTACACTAATCGTAGTGAATATTTTTCCATGTGAGTTCAAACTTAAACGGAAATTCGCGAAAAACACTAGAAGTAATAGCAATGCATTTAACTAAGAAACTATAAAATATTGTGTGCTACGAAGGTAGTTCACGAATGTGGAAGCTTTGGAGTTAATGGGGTCAGTGACACCCTGTGGTTATCGACGGTCATCATTTGAAGAGGTTAGTTACAGGAGATTCATCCGCAAAAATTTGGAGCTTCTGCAATTAGTAAGAGTGTGTACAGAAACAGCTTTGGAACCTTTACCAAATCGAAAATTAGCAACCACGACAGTGAGTGCTTAAGAATTGAACGAAGGCAATCAGTCGTCGTTCTGAAGTCGGTTCTGGGTTTTTTCTCATTAGAAATGATGAGTTTTCGTATTTGGCATATAGGCTCCTCCACTGTAATCTCCTAGGTATTACTCAAATCACTGAAGCAGAGATTTATTTGCGTCTTTAACGGCTTCATCGGACCCATATGCCCAAATTGTAATTGTAATGATTAACGAATTCGACTTTCATGATTTGTGATCAGCACGAAACCTTCAGCATGCTTTCCATTTTTTTGGAGCTTTTCTGTCTAACTATTGCGTTTCCCTGGAGTCCCTAAGTCAGCTTGACCAAGGTCTTCCTCAGGTCGTCACTACTTCACGCAGACGCTGCTCTTCCGGATCAGAGCAAGATTTACCATCATGCGACTAGTTTGGTACCAGGACAGTGGTAGGTATTCGTTTACTTTTAGCTGGGCTTTCTGGTTGAAACGCCGGACCACTTCTGATCTTGGGAGGCTCTGTTGGGGGGATGAATCTCTCTGCTTTACATCACCGCCCGACACCCAGGAACACCTCCTAGCCGCGATGAGGCGGTAAACCGTTAAGAGAGTTCTTGACATGGTTTTGGATAAAGTGGCAAACAATTCTACAGCCATGGAACTTCATTTGATTGCAATCCTAACTTGTTTTTGGGTATTTTAGATTTACCTTACTGGCCATGGTGGAGATAGTTTCCTGAAATTTCAAGACGCTGAAGAGTTGACTAATGTTGATCTGGCGTATGCAATTCAAACTATGTATGAAGATAACAGGTGTGCTAAAACTGTAACATAAACCATTAAAAGTTTTTCCTACCTGCACTTCCACTCGGCTGTTGCTGATTTCCAGTGTGCTTTCATTAACTTGTAGTCAACTATATGAAATGACCTAAACTCGTATTTAAATAGGTGTTTCTGGAGCTTCATCTATTTAGTGAACTTTCTTGATCTAAATAAACCTTGATAAAACTTGTACATTGTTGAAATTTTGGCAAGGCACTCATTTTCAAGTAAAATGAAATTCTGATTCCCTTGAACACAAAATGTTTTCCACAGATGCGTCAGCAATTTCCTCGACTGGCATACTCGCCTTAGAAATTTCAAAATTTTGGATTTTTTATTTTATAAAATTTTATGGTTGGGAGAAGTGCTTGGAGGCGCAACTGCGACACACACGTGAAATCGATCTCCGCTTCCATGCCCCACCAAGCCTTCCATCCCACCTTGGTAGGCGAATTGGTACCAGACTTGTTACTGGCTCGATGCATCGGTAGGCCACCGCGAGTCATTGTAAAGGCCAGATATGCATTCAATCACCTCCAACGATTCTTAGTAAAGTCGAATGCATGGCGCATCCCTCAAAGATTAATCAACGCCGAGAGCTTTTTCCTTTATCCTTTTATGGAAATTTTACTGCTGAACAAATTAAGTGTGTTAAAAACAGTTTAGAAAAGACTTACCTTCCTAGAGCGTTAGATCGAATTGTTTCCATGAGACTATCAAGCTGTCAACAACTCCAATACTGTGGTTATCGAAAAGGGAACTAGCAGTTATCAGAAAATAAAAATTGGTCATTCTGGCTGGATTCATATGTAATCCAAATTTATTCGATGAGTTATTTTATATAGAGCTTCCTGAATATTCCAGATACCATGAAATGTTCGTGATTGCTGATACATGTCGTAGTGCGTCAATGTATGAATGGATATCGAGTCCAGGAGTGCTGTCATCTAGCAGCAGTTTGACGAACGAGGAGAGCTACTCGTATGACGTCGATGACGATATTGGAGTTTACGTTATCGATAGGTGTGCATTGTTACTTCCGACGATTGTATTTCGTTTCCGAGAACCAACTATAACTGGACCAATGTACCTTATTTCATTGACAGGACAACATGAGATTGTTACCACATACTTATTCGGCTAACGTTTTGACGTCTTCGTCTTCATCAGAGCCAATGGACTGAGTCGATGGTCCACAGTCGCTCGTCCTCTGGATGATCCACGAATCCTGAGCCTGATGTCTTCGAATAAGGCAACCTCATTCGACTTCTAACCCGGGAGCGGTGCCCGAATAAAGAAGATCCGACTCGATACGACGACAAAGACACCGCTTTGAGGACACGAACGACTGCGGGCCATCAACTCGGACCATTGGCTCTGATGAAGTCAAAAATGTCGAACCGTTAATCGAACGAATATGTGATAACAACCGCGTATTAGCTTATCAATGGAATAAGATACATAGTTCATTTGTACCGAGATTAAGTGAAAGTCGGGTTACAGTGATATTCCTGGATATTCGTCAATGACCAAGTCAGCTAACTTTTTTTCCTTGCGTTTATTCGTGTGTTTTCATGCCAATACAAGCATCAGTTTTCTCTGCAGTATGTTAATTATTGCAGGTATACACATTTCACTGTTGCATTCTTGAATCGTGAAGTGAAAGCTCTAAATTCAACGGCGACGATGCAAGATTACCTTGAGTCGTGCTCTCGTCGTCAGTGCCTCTCGACAGTTGGTTCGTGGTCTGTTTGTTGTAAAATCTCAGAATCCTTGCACCTCATTTTTCCACTTTTTTCTACTGAACTTATTACGACCTGGTCTGAGGTTATTCTTGCTCTTAGTGGGTTAACTGTTTGTTTTTGTTTTTTAGGAGTACGTAAAGATGTTTATCCAAAGGAGCCTTCTCGCGTCCGTGTCACCGACTTCTTCGGTTCGTCTCGGATAATTCGACATCTCACTGAAGAGATCGTGATTGACGATGAATGGCTAAATTCCGGTTTTTGATTACTTAAGCAAACATAGGAATGAGTGCAAAAAAATGGTCCCTATTGAGCTTCATCTGCTTGGTTGTAAATTACATTTCTAAAGTGTTTAAATTACGTGTTTAAAAAGAATTGTGGTTTGTATAGTTTGCCCATGTGTATTCCTTGCTTTTTTCGTACTTATGGTATCCTTTCCTTTGTACACTGTGCTTGAAATCTTTTTTCGCTTAGGCTTTTTTTTTTGAAAATGACCAGAATTGCTGCTGTTGTTGTTAATAATTTATGAATTTCTTTGATTTTCGGTAGAAAAATGAGTTATAGTTTTAGATAGTTCAATTATTGTTACATTAATCTTCGTAACTACAACGGATGTTACAGATTGCATTTAACACATCTGCGATCTGGATGCATAAAGCTCTAAAGCTCTGAAGCTGTCGGCACTGATCAATCCCTGAGGGATGCGCCATGCTTTCGACTTCATTAAGCATCGTTTGGAGGTGATTGAATGTATATCTGGCCGTTACAATAGCAGTGGCCTACCTTTGTATCGAGCCATTGCTTTTATCCTCTCAGACAAGTCTGGTACTAACTTTCCGACCTCGTAGAGATGGAAGATTTGGTGGGCCATGGGCACGGGGATCGATTCCATGCTATGTGTTCCAGGGTGACTCCGACCAGGGCGCCACGCGGGCCCTTACATGGAGGCACGTGTGCCCGAAAATGGTTGCGTTTAGACACTTAGCTCATAGTATAATTGATTACTTGAAATGAAAGTTTCTGGAATTCGTAGGTCTTTTCTAACAAGAAGCAATTTCTATTGTTTTATTTCTTCAAGAACAATTTATTTTGTTCTAGCATAGTGGGACGCATGTGGCGCAGTGTTCGGAGGCGCCTTGCAACACACATGGGAACGATTCCAGCGCCCCAGGTTTACCAAACTTTCAATCCCTTTGCGGTCAGCAAATTGGCACCAGACTTGTCTGGGAGGGTAGCTGCACTGGCTCTATACATCGGTAGACCACCGAGAGTCATTGTTAAGGCCAAATATGCAATCAGTCACTTCCAACGATGCTTAATGAAGTCGAATCCATGGCGCCTCCCTCAGGGATAGGTCAGCTGCGAGGATTTTGTTTATTTTTTTTTAACACAGTGAGATTCTGACCGTGATGGTCCGTTTTGGTTTCCTCGTTTTTCACCGAGGATTTTTTCTGACCATCGCACTTGTTCAGAAAGCATGGTCCCTTGTGTGGAGAAGAAGTCTGACATGTTTACACCACTTTTTTTTAGTTTCAATTCGAAAGGAATTTGTAGTTGAAGTAACGATATCTTGCAGAGAAGTTGCACTTCTATGTTTTCTTTTCTGATTTTAAGTGACCTTAGGTCACATGTGGTGAGCAGCCTACACCTTGCATTCGGTTTGTTTCCTCGAGTAGGTGATTTCTGTAGGTTATCGGCATTTTACCACGCAAATGCAACTGATACGTGTGGATTTTGTCTTGATAGATGCCGTCGAATGTTGGTTGAGCCGATTGTCCGGGGATAGCTGTGTTAGAACGTTTTTAGGTGCTCATGACAAGCAATTATTCCCTTCATGGATCGGAATTAGGTGTTCCAAGTCAGGTGAGGTATCAATTTCTACACTCCGTGGGGTGCAAAGCTCGAATACTTCGGGGCTAGGTTGAGTCCGGGTCTAGCACATGTTGAACAGCATCTCTACTACTGCACTGTTTATATGTACATGTATGTTTATATATCCTTTCGATGATAGAGCAAAGCACTTTGTATAAGTCCGTCAGGTTCTGAACTCCTCAAGTATTCTAGTTTATTGGAAAATTCTTGAGAGTTTTCGGACATGCACTCGCTGGTACTACTCTCATATTCCTTCATATGTTTAGAGTCGAGAGAGTTGTCAGGTCGCAATGTAAGGCAATTAGAACATCATATCGCAATGGAGTCGAGGAAAAAATGTTTTCATTGGAGGACGAATCGTTTTACTACGGTTGGCAAAAATATACCACAGTACAGTGTAGGCAGTGGCGAATCCACTCGGATTTTTGGCCTGCAAAGGTTTGGTGAAAGCGCCTACAAAATCCTAGGTTGCTGGAGATATCACGAGTTTTTCCGATTTATTTGAGGTTTTAAGGATTATAAGGTTTCGAGAGTTTCCTTAAGGACTTAAGGTTAGGTTTCCGAATTTCTTCATCAACATCGCGTATAACAATAAGATACAAAAAAGGTAAAAGAGTTACTATTATGACGTTATAGATTAAGCGTTTGGCGTTGATCAATTCTTTAGAGATTCGGCATTCATGTTACATCTCCTTTTCAAACAGTGTTGCATTCAAGTGGGCGCAGTGGTTACAGGCGCCGTTTGGTACACACGGGATCGCTCCATGATTCGACCCTGTACCCGAATCATTCAAGCCATCCATTCGTCCAGGGTTGGATTTCAGGTACACTTCTCTGGAGGGTTAACAACACCGTTTTGGTAAATCGGCAAGCCGTAATCACCTCTAACGACGCTTGACGAAATTGAGTGCATGGCACGTCCCTCAAAGATTGATCGACGCCGGGCGCTTTATCTTTGTTATCCTTATAGCGTATAGTTTAGGTCTTCCACTTAGCGTAAGAACTAAGTCAAGTGCTCGACCTTCTCTTTTAAGGGTTTTTGTTTAGTTACTGTACTCGATATGGAGCCGGTTAGCATCTGGAGATATACCATGCTGGACGTTTGGTCGATTGGTACCAACGTGTTCGTATCGGTGATTCGTTGCCAGCTGACGTTAGGCAACGGAATGCCATCGGGCTTGCACATCAACCGCACTAACATGCCTGGCCAGTTTGAGTTGGCTGGCGCTAGATAGCGTTACTGTTGGAGACTTGCCCACCGTCGTATTACAGGAATTCCCTACAACATTACGTGTAAGTTCAATGGTGCTGAGATATTTGCAAAACTCCGGGCCGCAGGTGTATGCGGTGGGGAACGAACGCGCTATTGTCCTTTCCGGGGAGTCTTTTTGGGCTCCCAGATCAATCTCGATGACAGGTGATTGCTGATGGCAAGAGATCGATAGAACTAGCTGAAAGCGAAACGAAGGACCCGAGTGGTGCGGTGGTGAACGCGCTACTCCTCGGAAAGGACAATAGCGCGTTCGTTCCCCACCGCATGTACCTGCGGTCCGGAGTTTTCAAATATCTCAGTACCTCCCATGACCGACGTTCTGTTAACCTCGGCATTAATTGATAATTCAATGTTTTTCATCAATAAGCAGACACGAGGTTGTTAATATAGAATTTATTAGAACACAATTGCTGACGTTTCGGCGGTTTCGCCTTCTTCAGAGCCGTTTATTTGTTGTAAGTATTTAAGTTATTTGGTGGATAGCCGCCGCACAGCGTAATACATGGTCGATAACCGACAGTTAGAACCCAGTTAAGCTATAGCCATGAAAATTATAGAAGGCAGAAAACAAAACGTTAAACATTGTGATTTCAACTACAGCCATAGCTTAACTGGGTTCTATGCCGATTTGCGCTCCCCAGATCAACCCCGCTGACGGGTGATTGCTGTGGCAAAAAGATCGATAGAAATAGCTGAGAGACGTGCGAAACAAAGGACCCGCATGGTGTGGTGGTGAACGCGTTACTCCCCGGAAAGGATAATAGCGCGTTCGTTCCCCACCATAGACACCTGCGGTCCAGAGTTTTGCAAATATCTCAGCAACGTTGTGGATATACGTAGAGTTTCCATGCTTATTCAGTTGGTCTTCGTTGGTCATTGGTTTGTTACTAATTACAACCTTGAGTGCAGTGAAGTTCCAGCAATAAATAATTTTTTCTATTTATTTGTATGAAACATGATCGCAGATCGTACCACTCCCAAAACTTCTTTCTTTCAGCTCGTTGCCTCGAATTCGACCCCCATGGAAGCTTTCGGATTTATGTGTGGGTTCCAGTTGTTATTTGAAGACTTGGTGATTATCATTAAAGTCGTTGGATGATGGTTCAGTTAATCCAACCTAGAATCTTAGGATAGCTCTACCACTCGTCCCTAGATTTCGAGCATTGGAAGCAGCTAGATTTTTGGAATCGGAGGGGACTTTCTACAAAAAATTATGGTACCAACTTGCCAATTCTGGAGCAATGGAAAGGCTGAATGACTTTGAACGAAATTGAACCAGTGAGTATAGTGCAACATCTGCTAGGTCGTTTCAAATGTCATAATAATAGAACAGCAGAAATTGTCATTTACATTTAACAAGGGTCCACTTCGTTACGTCATTGACGTCCATTATTGTTCTTTCGCCTTGTGTGGACACATATTTCCATGTGATAAAGAACTGGCGAGGTTGTTTACTACAATACTCTTGACCGGAGTAGACACTTCAGCCATTGCATTATACTTTTCTTTAATCAACGAATTGTCTTTTGTTGCACGAACATCGTCGCTTACGGGAATCACTAATGCCCCATCTACTGACGGTCTACGAGCTTAACGCAACCGCCGAGGCAGACTGACAGCTCAAAGTAGATCTAGTGAAAACGATTGACCAAAATGTTCGTTTTCTTCTGACGCCATTCACCTACTAGTACGGCAGATTAAAAAGGAATCGTACTTCATTCTCAGAAGACTAAGAGGAAAAACCATTGGGTTACACTATTTGCATCCAGGAAGTCGAGCAACGTTTGTCGGGATTACATCAGACGTTGGACGCACACGATGAATCCATCTATTTAGACATTGCTAAGGATAATTTAAAGATGCAGAATCATCCAATTATCAAACGTTTAATGTGAGAAGTAGAAAATGTCTGCTTAAAAAATCCTCAATAAGCCATCTGCAGTGCAAGACACAGGAAAGACAATGATTGATGCTACAAGATGTTAGCTGACCATTTTAACACTAGAGATCGGAATCCAGTGTTTTCAAATAAAATCTCTCCGTAACGCTAGTAATCACTCACCTCCTACTGAACTGGAAAGATATATATGTTGTAAACAACATGCGCACATGTCAGCAAC